TTTTATCAAAATCACATTTTCATCATGTAACATGTACTTTGTTTTTTTTTATATTTTAGATATATTATAATATTAACGTATTCAACATATTAAAACGAATTTTCATGTCGTGAATTTTGATGTAATAAAATATTAATATAAAAATCAATAATTTATGTTAATTTTTTTCATAATTTGATTTTCTTCTATTTATATTTTCCCTAGAAAAAAATAAAAACTGACATATTGTAAATTTTGAATAAATTTTGTATAATATCTTCATTTCTTTAAAATAATTATAATAATAATGTTTGTAAGATTTATTGAAGTCATATGGTCATAAATTTTTATCACTTTAAAATGAATATTTTATTAATATTTTTTTTTTAGACAATAATTTGTATTTATAATTAAATATTATAAAAAAAGTGGGAAAATATAGAAAAATAGAGATAAAAAGAAAAAAAGAAAGATAGAAAGAGGAAGACGAATAAAATTTTTAAGTACATAATTGTTCTTGTAACATTCTCGTGATATTTTCGATATTTTTCAATAGATCTCACAAACAATATATTTAAAAGTATTATTTTCTTGAGACTTTAAATCAACATATATTATTATATATATCTTTGTAACAAAAAAACATCAAATTTAAGTTACATGTTAGCAATGAATAGAAATTTCGATTATTCCATTTTTAGAATATATCTAAATAATCGATTATACTTTTTTTTTAATTTCAACTTTATACATTATATCTATGTAAGATTATTTGATGTTCTTCTGCAGCTATTTACAATAAATCGCATGTATATCTTTCTCTAGCTGCATATACAATATATCATATATATTCTTTTAATTAATAAAATTTTAATGTATTATTCACATTTCCATTTAAAAACGCACGCAATTATTTGTATTCTTTATATATCACGTAACTTTTACTTTGAATATGAGACCACTTTTGTTTTTATTACAAAATTTCCTTATATAAACTTATTTTAATGCTTTTCTTTGAATGTTGTTCAATCAATCTGTGGGCACCATTTATAATAATAATTTTCTTTTCTCTTAAAATGTAAATAATTCAATAATAGATTAATATATATTAGATATACGAGCTAATCGAAAATAAATAATTCATTGAATTGCCAGCAGATTGACTTGGACTCAAATGTCCTCTTATGTCCCTCTTTCCTGGCAGTGCTAAACTTTATTCCATAAAAAGCAAAGATTAATTTGTATAAAAATATATATAAATTCATATAGAAAAGGAATAGTATGTATTGCAAGTAAATAAACTTACAAAATAAATAAGTTAAACAAGTATTTCTTATTTTCATTTTGTTAAGGAAGGATCATAGAAAGTTTATAAAGATTATATTAAAAAAATTATATATTATGTATTGATTGAGTATATTATAGAAATCTTAATTGTAATTTGAGCTTTTCAAGTTGCAAAATTTATTTTCACTTAAAAAAAAATCAATATACAAAATGCTAAATATACATTACAGATCTATGATCCAACCTTTATTCTTGATATATATATTAATTATTATGTAAATCATAACATATGTGAGTTACAACAAGAACATAGTTATTAATATTCACAGTAAAGAGATCAGAAAGTCTCCTAGTCCAAAGAAATGTACAATTAAAATTTGTAGAAGGACAAGGTGATTAACATTGTCCTTAGACAAATCATCATTTCGATGTTTGATTTTATATGAAAAACTGTTATAATTTCCTTGTTAAATAACGATTGTCAATGAGCTTAAGCCAGATGGGCAGCAAAAATGTAGCGTTTTGAAATTGTAAATTAGATATCTATATAAGAAAAATGATGTAAGAAAAAATGTAAGAAAAATTTTATTATAAAGATTGCTACTATCCCAGAAGTATATTAATATTAAAAGTTAATTATAAAATAACTTTGTATTATGCATGATATTATATAAAAACACTATATATTGCACATTCCTAATTTTAATTTTGAACTTATTAGTCAAATATTTGAATAAAAATGTATATTGGTCAAATTACTTACTTTCAATATAAAATAAATGGATATATTTTTCATATCTTTGGCTTTAATATTAAGATTATTTTAACTTCGGATACAAAATAATTAATTTTTTCTTTTTATAATATCAAATTTATATATTTTTTTAGATGCACTTTATAAAATATCATTTCTAAAAACATTGTGATCACTCCTGGGTTAGAAATATATATTTTAATTTAGATTATCCTTGTGCGCATAAGATTATGTATTAACTAAAAAACAAATGATAAAAAAAAAAAAGAAAAGAAACGAAAATGAATATTCCAATGATCACAGAAATCTGTTTCTAACAGGTACATTCATGTGCTTTTGTTGAATTATGTGCCCATCTTTGTAAACTAGGAACTAACAGTTTTCACTTATTTAGCATTATACTTATTTCATATGTTGATACTCTGTCAATAAATTGTTTTTATATTAATGCTGCAGTCACCCTGAAATATTATAATGAATTTTTACTGGTCCAGTTTGCCAATCTGATTGCCATATTCTCAATTTCTCTCTCTAATAATACTGCCTAAATATATCATCATGTCGATATGATACTATTCAAGACTTTATTTATCTTATTATAAACTTACTTTTCATATTATTGCTATTATTATTGGGTCATTCAGGATTTATAGTACCTGAATACATTCATTTCTTAAGTTGAATTACTTAATTTTAACGTCATGGACTATTATATGAATCATATCAAATGCATCTGGTACAATGTAGCTATCATGACCCTAAGTAAATTCTTTTTTAAAATTTTTGGACCCAAATATTTGAAATGTGATTGGCATCTTGGAACTTTATACAAATATTCACATATATAATTATAATGATAGATAATCCAGAAAACAAAAAGCCATGGATAAGAAAACCTTTATATCATAGAATACATCAACTAATGCTTAGAATGAAGGTACTATAAACTGCCATTTGTTGAATAATAATCTTATATCTCATTAGATTACAATGTCATCACAGTGTTTTGATGTACATAGCTAATTATTTAACTTATAAATAATTGATAATTTTCCACTGATAACATCATTTATAGAAAATTATCGATTAAGAATATATGGCAGTTTATGAGCATTTTATATATGCTACAAACGGTTTTCAGTAGAAACATTGTGCTCTTTTTTTTTTTTTTACTATCATTCTTAAAAATTATCTAATAGACGTTGAATATACTTCAAGAATTCATGTCCATAAAGACAATATAATATATATAATTATATATATATTTTTTTTAACAACCAACGATTAAGGACATGAATTCTGTGCAATCTTTTCTAAGAGCACTATCTACTGTATATTACAACAGTTATTTTAATTACAAAATTTTTTTTCACCATTTATAACATTATAAATCTCTGTGTTCAATATGATAAAACTTAAATACTCTTATCCAGAGCCTTTGTAATCTGAAAAGATAATAATAGCATACATAACACACAATTTTGCATCATAGCATACATCTAACTATATATGAAAAAAAAAAAGAAAAAAAAAAAAAAAAAAAAAACACAAATGTTGCCAAAAGACAAAACATTAAAATAAATAAAAAAAAAAAAAAAAACACAAATGTTGCCAAAAGACAAAACATTAAAATAAATAAAAAAAAAAAAAAAAAAAAAAAAAAAAAAATAAATTAAAATTCTATAAAAGACTGACATTAATTAGAGACTGATTGCCTAGAAGAGGCTGCGTGCATGGCAAAATCGACAAGTGGATTATTTGGGACGGTAACAATGGAGTGTGAAGTACTACTGCTTAAAGTAACATTAGCAGAAGAAACTAATGATAATGGTTTACAAGATAATTGATCAATTTGTTTTATAGGTACCAATTTAATTGGTACATCTGTTTTTAACCTGACAGCTTCCGATACTGGTATAGCTTTTAATTGAACACTCTTCAATGGTTGTATTTTAACTGCTGGTTTTACAGTAGCACTTGCATTTTGAATAATTTTGGTAATTTTACTCTCACCAACTCCTTGGTTGGAAGATTCGTCATAGCCAGAATCTGACGATGAATCACTAAATGTTTTACTTGCTTGCTTAGAGACCATTGTTTCTGTACTAGACTCTACACTATGGGCAGGACTAGCAGATGCAGAACTGTGAACAGGGCTGGCAGATGCAGAACTATGCACAGGACTGCAACTCAATGCATTTGTTTGTTGTTGTCGTTGTTGTCTAGCTATACAACCAATACAAGGTTTTATCAATGAAGGATCCACTATTACTTCTCCATATCGACCTTTAAATATTGTTCCACAACAAATAATTTCCCTAAAATTATATATGCATTTCAAAAAACAAACAAAATATATCAAATTATATTTATAAATTATTATAAACTTTGTAATCACTCATAAAAATTAATAATGAGATTAACCTTTTAAAATATGTTAAATCAATAAAACCACTGACAGTTAAGTCATCCTTTGATTCTGGATCATCTTGCATATCTAATTGTTTTTCAGTTACTGGAATATCATCACTACCTACAGGACTACCAGCTCGACTTGAACCTTTACTACCATCTCCATTCAAATAATCTTCTAGAAAAAAAAAGAAAAGAGAAAAAAAAAAAAAAAAAAAAAAAAAAAAAAAAAAAAAAAAAAAAAAAAAAAAAAAAAAA